GTTTTATATAAGTGTTGTCTTCATTCTGGATAAGTAGAAGAGGAAAGCATGGGGTAGCGTGCACGGGAAGTCTTGATGGGCCAGGCCGAGAAATGGGATCCATCACTCTGCCCACTGTCCAGTGGCTGTAATTCAATGGTATGCCCGCAACTAACTGCAAGCAGGGCCAGTCACTGTAATCTGGCTGTGAGCCTGGGAAACAAAAAAGAGGAAAATGAAGATTTCAGAGAGCAGCTATCAGTTTTAGCTAAAATATACATATTTTTCTTTATATTTTTCATACTGGAGGTGCTCAGTGTTACTGGGAAAACAGTATAATAAGTCACACTGGAGTCTGAAGTTGGTCAGGAGGATTCCAGAACCTTTGCATTTCCACCACCAATTTAACTCAAAGTAAGTCCACTTCCTAGTCAGTTGAGTATGGAACTTATATATAAAGGTTGTGTCTTTAAGTGAAAAATCACAATTAAATTGAAGTGGAAACTTGGCCCCAAAGTACACTTTTCAGTAGCCTGAGAAACTGGGATTCATTTGGAGCAAACTAGGACTCATTCTGATTGTGTGTCAGCTGGAAAAGGAGGTGCGTATATTATCAGTGAAGCATCCATTGCATCCGTTTCTTCTCCATTCCAATGACCAGTCCTTCTAGCTCTTTGTTTGAGGTCCAGGCAATTGGCTACTCCATCAAGCACTGATTGAATGTCTACTCTGAGCTCAACACTGTTCAGTTCACACTTTCCTACAACAAAGGCAGCTGAAAGCTCCTCTTTCATGTGTCCTTTAGGGAGTGGGTATGGCCACAGGAAATTGGAGGTAGAGTACATTTCTGTCAGTGAATCGTATTTTTCCATTTGCCGCCATTAGAATGTTAGAGATGCTTTTCTTGGGGGTGGAGGGTGGTAAGTCTTGCCTTAATATATAAAGAAATTACATCTGAGAACACAGCAAATTTTAATTTCTCCAGAGTTAAAAGTGAGGGAAGTTGATTTTTCTCCTGACATACTAAAATGGTTTTTCTGTAACTTTAAGTTACAGAAAAAATCCAGAAATTGTATTCGCTGGAGTTCAGAGCCCTTCTAATAATTTTGTTTAGAGTGTGCAAGTCAGCACCCACCGGGAAGACTGAATTTCTCCACATTGCCTGCTGTTGCTCTTTCCTCTGATTCTCTTGCTGGCATCATAAATATTCCTTTTCAGCTCCCCAAATTCTAGCTGTTTCCTTTGGGAAATGTTTGAAAAGCAATCTTTATAGCCATTTATTTTATTTAGTTTAAGTCCCATCTTAGAGTTGTCAATGTGATTATGTGCTATTTTTTAAAATACATTTCTCTTCTCTGGTCAGGGAAGATTGAACTTTCTTTAACATACAATGGATTTAATTGGTTAATTAGATAATTTAGAATCCTTGCTGGTATAGATCCCAAAAGGAGGAGCTCCTTTAAGCTCACTGCAACTACATTTACTTTTAAAGGAGCCCTTTATTTTGCTGTGAATAAAGTGTCTCTTATTAAACAGAATATAAAAGCATGTTTGGCAGGACTTGACTCCCAATGGGTGAAACATCACAGGAAATTGAGAAATTGTTTCTTTTTGGCCTTGTGGAAAAATTTTGCTAGTGAAATTTAGTGTTAAGGTTTTAAGACTCCTGCTTAAATCCATCATGAAAGAGTTGCCAGACAAGGGACAGCTTCTAGGGGAGGGGGTGGGGCATATGGACCAATGTGACCTTGCTAATCTGGTTCACTAAATTTTCCAAGTACTCTGAGGTATGGTCAAGAAGATTGTATTCTGTCTTACATAATAATTGTGTTACTGTTAAAGAGAACTTAGAAGAAATTTTTTTTAACAATTTAGGCATAAGTTTGTCTTAAGTTAGCCTCAGTTGGATGCCCTTTCATTATTTTCCTGCAAAACGGGCTGTCTTATATACCCAAACAAGAAATGTGTCTTAGGTACAGCATCTAGCTTCTGCTTTCCCATAAAACTATGAGCTCTTGAACTTGGGCAAGTCCACTCTGGGCATTAGACATGCATATTGTCATCCAAACACCTGTCTTTACATAGATGTCTTAATTTGGGATTTGTGCCTCACTCCAGTGCTGTCAGTTTAAACTCCTAACCTTGTTTCCCTTCTAAGTTCCTTGGAGACACTGTGGGCAACATCAACATACATCTCATGTCCAAACCCCTAATCTTTGTTGTTTGCTTCCCATACTCCCCTCATTCGGCAATCAGTCACCATGTCCTGTTAATCGCCCTAAATATGCCTGACAGCCATATCTCCTTCTCTTCCCTGTCCTCCTCTCCCCAGAACCTGATTCAGGCCACAGTTTTCTCGTGCCTTGCTTTCTCTAAGAAGCCTCCTTAACTAGTCTCTTTGCCCTCTCATAATCCTGTTTGTACTCTGCAGCCCAAATGATTTTTCTAAAACTAATCTTGATCTTGTTACTGCCTAGCCTGAGATTTCTTTGGGGGTGGTGAAGAGGAGTTATCTATAAAATGTAAACTCTTGGCCTGGCCCTTATTTTGTTTCTCAGTTCCCTCCACTTTCCACCACATCAGCCCCTTGACAGAGGCAGGGCTGCCCATGCTAACCATGACTGGATTACTACACTAAGAATGACCCCCTGCTTTTCCCATTCTTAGCTAATTCTAACCTGTTGTCCAGAAGCCAGAGAACTCTTCCTTGACTCCCAGCCCCCACCCCTTAGAATTGGAAAGATGCTTCTCCATTGAATCTCATATACCATGGACATACTTCTAGGATAGCTGATCTTTGATTGTAAACTCTTGGAAGGCAGGCCACGCAGCTCATTTCTCTTCGAACTCTCTGCTATGCCTGTTGAATAAATAAATGAGAATATATGACTACTTACAGTGCTTTTTTATATATAACACTGAATCCTGATTATAATGCTAATTTTGGCTCTTTTTAGAAGAGTAACTCTTAGAGAATAAAAAATAATCCCTAGCTTTGATATCAGAAAGCTGAGTCACTGTGAGCTGTGACCTTTGCTAAGTCTATCAGCCTCTCTGAGTCTCAATTCTTTGTCAATGAACAGAGGATAATATATTACAGGGTTTGGCTGAGGACCAAGGGAGAAGTCAGGGGGGTCGGGGTAGGCACTAGGTGAATTATAATGACTGCACAAGTATTATCTGCCTTATTCTGATTCTTTCTATAATCTGCAGTCCTCCTTGCTGTAGCCATGCCAAACACCAGCTCAGGTACATGAGGTGTGAGTGGTTTCCTGTGGCACAAGTCAGGGGTGGGTATTTTCCAGGTCTCTGCTCAGTTAGATAGAGACATACCAATGGAAGGATGGATGTAGGAAATGATTCACCCGTATCTTTCCCATTGGAAATACACTCCTACCCTCTCACACACTGTTGGTGACAGTAAACCGTGTACAGTGGGAAGGCAATTTGATGACATGTGTTGAGAGCCTCATCAATATTCATCCTTTTGATCCAATGATTCTATCTCTAAGATTTATCCTGAGGGAATGATTTTTGAAAATGAGGATGGGAACACTTAAGATGTGTAAAGATGTTTCTTGCAGTTGTGTTTGTTATAGTTAATGATTGAAAATAATCTGACCTGTGTACACCAGTGAGGGATGGCTATGTCCTTCAGTGGGCTTTCTGTAAGACAGAAATATTGTTTTGAAAAAATGTCCAGGTGGAAAAAGCAGTCTTAAGAATTCAACATACAGTTTAATCAAACTATATAAATCAAACAAATACAGAAAAAAAAGTGATCAGTAGGAACATACACTCTGTTTTGGAAGGAATTGGTCATAGTTAAGAAATCCACAGGCACAGCCCTGCCTTGCTAGACCCAGGACCCTGTGAATGAGATTCACTGTCTTCTGTGCAAAGGAATCTTTATTTGGCATTGGATAGAGGCCAGACCTTCATCCTGTCTCCCACCTGTCTTCTAAAACCTGGAAGAAAGCATTCACAGGAATATCAATCAGAATTAAAAATCAGCTTAGGGTTTAGAGAACGGAAGTTCTAGAATACCAGGGAAGGAAAGGCTAAATATACTTGAAAAAATAGTAATCATGACAACAATTTTGTAAGACATTTTTGAGTGTGCAAACGGCTTTCTATACATTCTTTCATTTAAATTGGCTCTTCTTCTACGCAGCTTTTTATACTAATTTCTGTAAAAATTACTACAGATCTAAAAAAGCTCAGAAACACAGTTCCTTACTTGGGTTCCATTCCTTTATTGGCCTTGTATCCAGGGGTTTCCCCACTGTGCAGCATTTACTTTGTGCCCAGTGGAAACTATCTGGAAGGAAGTAGTTGAGCCCAGGAAACAATAGACGTTTCATCGTGGCTTTATTCACTGGAGAGCCTCGGAACATTTGGCAGGCCTTTCCTTACACGTGCCAGTGGAGCCTTGTGTTGTAAGAGGCACAGCTTCACCGCGAGTTGCCCCCCGTCACACATCAAGTCTAGTCGTGGAACCCATGTAGGACTGATTCCTTTTTTTTCCTCTTGAATCCCCATCCAGCCCAAGTGTCAGCTCTCACACAGAATTTCATGGTCCTCTTTTACAGCCTGTCTCAGCTCCAGAAAAGATCTGCTTTCTCTTCTTATGTTCCTACATGGCTGAGGTTCAGAACCTTAGTGCATTTGTCAGATGCGTTGTGTATTTTCTCCCTGCAACTTTTCTGTTAGACTCCATGCTTTGGGGAAAGAGAAAAACTGAGGAAGGAAGAAAACTGCTTAGAGTTTTTAACCCTGGGTTTTGGCCATTTTTCTTGAAGATGGGCTGCTGTCCCTTATCTGACTTGAACTTTCATGTTCTCAGGATGAGAAATAAATCTTTACACAAAAATCCAAGGGTTGGCTGTTTTGAGAGGAAGTGTCAGTCCTCGATGGAGCTTTTCGAGGGAGTTGGAGTTATTTTACTAAGGACAGTGCTGAATTCCTCTTGTTTCTGCTTCTCTTTCGAAGTTTATTTTATGTTTTGTTGTGGTTTTCAGATTTCTCATGGTTTGGATTTGGGAAAGTAAAATCAAGACAAGGTGTTGGTAAGTAGTTACTCCTTCTTTGGATAAGTAATGTGCTTGTGTTAATTCAGATGAAACTGCTTAGCCCTCTTTGTACTCATCCCTTGAATCATTTTTTGTGTTCCTGGTTTCTGATTTGGTGAAGAAAGAGGCCTAGAATTCTTCCAGGAAAAGCCATTATCATTGCTAATTGAGTTAAGTTATGGTTCTGTATTTTTGAAGTTGACTTGTTTTTACCCTATGGGGACATGTCAACTGTCAACTAGTTCTAGGTTACTGGTGCATTTTTAAGAAGGTTAAAGAAATAAAATACAACTGTACCACAGGTCAATGCACAGCAAAATTGGCTGAATGTTCTAGTCTGGAAAAACTTGGTTCTTAGCTTCCTCTCATTGACCACAATGCAATACATTTCTGAATTGGTAAATCAGTTATTTGTTTATGACTATTTCTCTTTCGAAACAAGACTAAGAACTGGACACTGTGATTTGTGCTTGATTGCATTCTATTCCTTGCCATTGTGCTGACAATTGAAAAGCAGAGCTTATAGCTACCAATGAGTGCAGATAATGTATCTCATCTCTAGGACTGAAATCAGGTGTAATCTCCCAGGACCTCCAATTTGTTCAGTATTTTCTGTGGGTATAGGGACAATAAATAGGAATTGTTTAGAGGGCATGAAAAAATAGACTTTCTTCCATTTCACACATGCATTTGATCTAGCCATTGTGGGTATCTGTTGGTTAGTATCTGTTTTGGTTGCAAGGTTGACCGTAGGTAAAATTGCAAAAACAGGTATATCAGTGTCATGGAGCCTTTCAGTTCTGAGCCACCCACCTCATATGTGCTCATCCATCCATATGAGGAACCCTGTTTCATTTCCCTTTTTGAGCTTGACATCAATCAGTTTGACCCTTAACTAGCCCCATGAATTCCAAGGGAAAAGCTTTTAACCAGCAAAGGAAAAATGGACATGTGGTAAAGTTGGAACCTAAAGCTCAGCCACCTCAGGATTTGCCAGAGATTCTGCAGGGCAGATTTCAGATACAGCTGATCATAGTCATTTTGAGATACCAGGGAATGGCCTGCTGGGCAGTCTTGAAGGTGCCATGTTTTGTGGCTTGTGCTGTGTGTGTGTCATAGAGGCAGGAGGAGTTGGGTGATAAACTTTCCCACAACAATGCTGTGGGATGGGGTCTTCCCTCCACTAAATAGCAAATCACTGCAACCACTAAAACATTGTTCAGGCCAGTTTGCCCTGCAGAGAGGTCCTGGTGCTTGGGAAGCTTCAATCACAGGATTTCACCCTTTGAGGCTACAGGAAAAAGAATCCTTCAGCTACATTGTTCTTTCAGCTACAATTCATCAGAGGTGCTGCTGCTTTAAAATGTTGGTTTTGTTATTCTGCAGGTATAGTGCGGCCAAAAGGTCAGGAGAAGACTGCCATTGATGAAGAGATAATTCATTATTGACAGTTCCCAAGAGAAGAGGGCGGGTCACATCTCAGGGGGGTGCCAGAGGGAAGCACCTGGGTCATTCAGGAGGTGGAGGGAATGAGGGGAAAATGTGGATTAGAGCCTTTATTGTGGTTTCCTTGGAAAGGACTGGGCAGGCAGGGTTAGCAGGTTTAGGATTGGATGGCTTGAGGGACTTCAGTGGGCGTAGGGTGTAGGAGCTCCCTGGTTGTCTGGTACCTGGCTCTGGGATAACCGGGCACATGGATAATGTGCCTGGGGGATGATGGTTTGATAAGGAATGTGGTTGGAGTGTTGATTATGGATTAGTTAGTTTGTATATGAAAGGTATGCTCAAGGGTGAATTCTTCACTATCTGTAAGAACTGGGTAACCCTTGATACGGCATTCCTTCCAGTGTCACCAAGGCCCAAGACGTTAAAGCATGAGAATATAGAAAATAAATGACATGCTTAACACAGCTCCTTGAGAACAATGATCTCTCCCATCACCTGGAAGGCAAGGTGAAGACATTCACCTTGAATGTCATCACCTGAGAGATGACATTCCTTACCAGATGACCTCCATTGATTTTTATCACAGGAAAATAGGGTCTGTAAAGTCAGAGATGCAGGGCACATTACCCAGCAGCTCTGAGAAAAGAAAAGTGCCTCTTTGAACTTGAGGCATATTAAAAAATAAGCTAAAAATGTTTCCAGCATAACTCATATTTGTCAGCTCAGTAATTAGAACTCTCTACTCCAAACTCAGCAAATTGCACATACCTAGCAATTTAAAACTTCTTATTCATTTTATAAGACATTTTCTCAAGTCCTCATATGAAATTCTTATAACACTGTGATGTGCCCCTGACTCTTCTGTCGGTCTTTTCATCGTGTCTCCTCAAGCACGTGCACAGACACAAAATGACACATCGTGTGACATGCACAGACAGGCTGCTGTCAAATTATGTAGACATTCATTGTCCCCGCTGAGAGCTTTTCTTCCCCTGCCCAACTTTGCTGAGCTCCATTAGATCAAAATGTTCCTAGAAAAATGGGCTGAATCCCTGCAACCTTGCCAGCCACATCAATCTTCCAGGATCTGGAGCATCAATAATGAAGAAAACAGCACTGGAATTAATATTCCAATTGATAAATGGTTGAGGTTTGTATGTTGGTCAGATTTGTCAACAGCAGCCTTCTGGTAAAGTGAAAAGGCTTTTGAAAAATTACCTCTGGTCCTTTATATCACTCCTATGCTTAAAAATTCACTCCCTGCCCCCACCCCTAAAAGAGGACCCATTTTCTTTAGATCTGTTACTTCAGAGTCTGGGGTTTTAATCAGAGAGGTCAAGGGAAGGAAAGGGTGTCTTCTGGTGGAGGCAGAGAAGCAAAGAGCAAGCCTCTTTATTGAACTCTTTAAATTAGAGCCCTGCTGTGTCTGTGGCAGGTGATTCGGAGCCCAGATTCCTGGAAGAATCTCAACATTGTCTTCTAGGTATCAACCTTCTCTGAAATGATGAAATGCTATGGGAATGTCCATAGTCTTATTCTAACTTGGGCTGGAAGAATCAGAGATGAAAGCAACTGGGATCAATATGTTTCTAATCATTGCAGGGGCTCCAGGAGCAAGTATCGCTGGCCTCCTGATAGCATGTGTGGGGTATTTGAACATGACAGTTCCTGTATTTCTGAGGGTAAATGTGTAGCCTGGAATCTGTTGAGAAATGTGTGGCCTTGACTGCTTAGCAAGTTCAGGCAGTAGCCTACCTGGGTAACCCCAACAGAGGGGCAGCTGCACCAAGAACAGAGTGAGGGAGCCGGCGGGGGGGAGGTTTTATTGACAAGAGGCAGAAACCCTAGCACAACGCATTTCTATTTTCCATCTCTGGGTTTAAGCTCTGGGTGATCCAGGCCTGCCAGAAAGCAAATCATAAAACAGGGATGGTTAAGGATATTAGAAAGAACTTGTCTTTATTCTTGGCAGAATTTCTTCTCTTTGCTAATGCCAATGATCTCGGCACAAGACGAGCACAACTGGGGAGACTGTCTTTGCTTTGAGTGTTCTGTGACTTCTAAATTGGCTGTGTGAGAACTTGTTTGCAGAATTAAGCCAGGGTGTATCATTAAAGGCATCTTAAATGCACATCCCCTTGAGAGAATGCTTTAAAAAATTACCTATAATAGCAGTTGGCTGCCTCCTGCATAGTTTGTTTAAGATTCAGCTAGCTGGAGAATGTCCAATTGTTATCACTACATACTGTGATAATCCACATATGAGGGAGAAAACAGATCTTGAATTGGGAGATGGATTACTATGATATTTCAGAGGGGGTTTAAAAATGTATGACACAAAAGCTTTTGTTTTTAGAATTGTGGTGCATCTGGTTGAAATAGTTAGGTCTGGGGGAAGAGATAAAGAATGGATGGAGGTGCTGAAACACGTATCCTGGGGCTCGGATGAATACACGTTCTCTTGCTCAGGAAATAGTGATTCAGACTTTCCTTTCCCTAGTACACATTTGCCTTGGCTGTCTATTCGATTCTGCCTGTCATGGCCTTCCCTTTGTCTTTCCTCATTATTCTTTCCTTCCTATCTCCCTCTTGGCTTATGCTGACAGTCCTAGCCAGTGAGTGGTTGCTTTTCATGGGACCCTGCACCCATTCAGTACACTGCAAAAACACATGTCATTAATATGTGTCTAGGGAGCTTTGTCTACTTTTTGTGTATGAGTGATCACCATGAGCCACCAAGGTCTTAATTGTTTTGAGGCTTTCATATAGATGTTTTTCTTTGTGAATCTACTTTTGGTTGAAACAGTATGAGTTTAGTGGTTGATGGATAACTGGTTTAGACAAAAAACACTAGGCCACATTTATGGGCATATGCATTCTTGAGACTGGACTAGAAAGTTAAAGTGTTATATGGAAAAGTCTATGGTTATTGCTTTAGTATAATGACATCCATAGAATGACTCTGTAAATAAATAACATTATGGCTAAAGGCAAAGCAGGTAAATTGCCATGGGATTGAGCCATTATGCTATAGGCAAAAGTGGTGCAGCTATGGACAGAGTATACAGAGAGAGGAACAGAGTAATTGCACAGTCCAGTGTAATTACAGGCCACCAGTTGTAAGTTCATTTAGTAATACCATAGTAATTCATACTCATGAAGCACACTTAAATTTACAACACATTCTCATATCAGTAGTCTCATAAAATAACAAGTAAGTGTCATTTTAGAAATGTAAGTAAATGCAGAGGTAAAAAGAAAGTAAGTGTCTTGTCCAAAGAATAGAGAAAGAAACTCAGATCTTTGAGCTTCTAGTACATCAGGATCTTAGACTGATGCTGAGAGGTCCAATGAGCAAGTGTTCTAAAGATGCTCAGAGAACAGAGAGGAAGCCTGCATATTAAATTACAGAAGAAGGAAGTACAGAAATTGGAACGCTGGCGCGTTGCTGGTAGGAATATAAAATGGTGCTGCCACTTTGGGAAACAGTTTGGCAGTTCTTTAAAAAGTTAAACAGAGAGCTAGCTACCATATGACCGAGCAAGTCCACCCCCTAAAATAAAAAAAAATGTATGTCTACACAAAATCTTGTACACGAATCCTCATAGCAGCATTATTCATTATAGTCCAAAAGTTGAAACAACCCAAATGTTCATCAGTTGGTGAACGGATGAACAAAATGTGATATATCTGTAAAATGAAATATTATTTGGCAATAAAAAGGAATAAAATAATGACACATGCTACAACACGAATGAACCTAAAATATTATACTAAGTGAAAAAAAGTCAGTCCCAAATGATCATGTATTATGATTCCATTTATATGACATTTTCAGAATAGGTAAATTCATAGAGATAGAAAGTAAATTTATGGATGCTTAGGGCTCGGAGTGGGAAGAATGGAGAATGATAGCTATTTGAAATGATGAAAATGTCCTAAAATAAGATTATATTGATGATTGCATGACTCTGTGAATATACTAAAACCCTGTGAATTGTACATTTTAAGTGGGTGAATGTTATGTATGTGAGTTACAAAGACAGTAAGACATTACAGAGCAGTGTGTATTTTTCCCAACTGTAGGCCCAGCTTCAGTTATCAGCAATGATGACGACTCTGCCAGCCCACTTCACCATATCTCCAATGGGAGTAATACCCCATCGTCTTCAGAAGGCGGCCCTGATGCCGTCATCATTGGAATGACCAAGATCCCTGTCATTGAAAATCCCCAGTACTTTGGCATCACCAACAGTCAGCTCAAGCCAGACACATGTAAGTACAGCTGTTTATATTTTTTGGCCCATTTGCTGCATAGCTGTGTATCTACAAGCATGCTTGTCAGAGTCCTTGACAAGGTTGACTCTGGGGAGGAGGGCAGGGAAATGTCAAGATTCTTGGGGCTTTGGGACCATGGAATAGATTCTTTACTTTGTTGCTTATGGAATTCTCCGGGTGTGTCTCCTGCTTGGCTTCAAACTTTGGGCAGTTACTGGCTTCTCTTGTGATCCATGTTCCAAAAACCATTTGTCAATATGAAGTTGGAATCAAGGCCTGCTTATCTTGAAAAAGATAGAGAAAGAAACCAGAAATCATTAGAATGCACATATATCAGTTACTGAAAGACAGGCAGCTGGTGGGATTTAAATTTGGTTTATTGAAAATCATTAAAATGTACACTACAGGTAGTCAGAAAGTGCTATGTTGTACACAGGTGGTATCAATTCTGGTAGTTTTGTGTTCTTTGTTTAGTCCTAGTTCTCAGCATGAAACGTGATTCCGTGATAGCAAAGAACATGTTTTAAGTATGCTGACATATTTTTCAGAACCAAATTAACCCACTAGCCTCTACTAAAAGCTTGAATTTTTTTTCAGAGACTCTTATTCTATTTTTTTTGAGCCATTGCTCCAATATAAAAAAATGGAGCACAACCTTAAGTACAACAAAAAATAAAATCACAATGGACAAATAGGCCTTATACCATTGGAACTCCAGGATTTCCCCCACACATGAGTAAGAAGCTATGAAGGTAGAACATTAGGTAGCTGACATCCCAGGGTTCTCTGGCACTGAATAATGAGTATCTTATATTTATTTGCATATTTTCACCCCATCGTAAATGCGGGTGTCCTGCACTGCTTCAGAAGTAAGGTAGAACTATTACAAGGTTAACATTTGGGGACTTACTTTTCAATGAGGCTCTTCATGGGATAGGAGGCTTAGTAATGAGTATCAGATTACTTCACATACTAGGAAACACATGTTATTTCCTACTATTTATTCAAATTTACCTCAAGATATTATCATAGTGGATTTGAGTTTAGTTGTTAGGAAGAACAGAATTATAAGTTTGTAGTATGTAAGACTGGACCCCACCATTGATTTCAGTTGAATATGTAATATGACAAGGTAAATAGAATAGCAGATGTGAAGACTGTTGAGCTTCTTGAAATAAAATGTTTTAATTGAAATCAAGGTATTTTTAATTCTAACCTTGTCAGTATGGTGACAAGATATGTGGAGGCATTTCTTAAAGATGTGTATTCTTTGTAGAGATAAGCATCCTCCAAAGGTCTTTGAAATATCCTGCATGCAGAACAGTCAAATATTGAATAAGGCAAAGCAGGCTATTATGATGGGAGAATCTGCATCATTTTGATTGTTCTCCCTGGGAACAGAGTACTTTGACACCCCTGTCACCACCAGTATCAGGCTGTATAATGTACTTCAGTAAGCCTGAGGCTGTATTATAATTGAGTTTGACTAAAATCAACCTGTCCTCAAGAGTTTGCTCTCCTTTGTCGATAGAAGAAACACAAAGCTGAATAATCAAGCAGATAGCATCATCTCAACAAGTCCAATAAAAGAAAATAAATACATGTGCAAGAAAGCAAGTAAGCAAACAAATGAATGAAATCCTATAGAAGGAAGTGGACTATGTAGATGCTAAGTCTGTGGTTCCATCTAGAAGTGCTTTCTTCCCTTAGGACTCCCACAAGAAACTTTCCACAGGTCATTTCCTTAACCTAGAGTACACGGGGATTTTTGTAAAGGTTTCAAATTAGACATTTTTATTGTTTTGGAGGAGTCTTGGTTTTGTGGCTTAGCCACCCTGTACCACCTGCACTTAGAAGGAATTGCAAGAGAGCTGAGGAGACCTGCAGCCTCCCTCAGCTTCTGTCCTCTACCAGAGGGATCCAGACCATTGGTTCTCCATTTGATGGTTTCTTCCTTGGACAGTTGTCCAGGGCCCTTCACCCAGACATCTTTACTCAGCTCAGTATTTTCCATCACTCTGTATCCTATAGCAGAAGAAATTTTTTTTGTCTGCTAGGCTTCAAGTCATATACTCATGATTTGAAGAACATTTACAATCATACATCTTCCATGAATGCTTTCTTAAAGAAATGAGAATGAAGAAGCAATTTACTTCTCTCCTTACCTTTAACCTTTCTTAAATGTTATTCTTTACCTCCTAATTTTTTCCCTTTATTTTCAATGTATCTGTTGCCTTTGGTTAAGAGTATGCCCACTCTTGTGTGTGTGTTTCTATAGTCTTGCTTGTGTTAGACTGTAAGCTCCTGGAGAGCAGAAACTATATCTGCTGAATTATTCCTTCATAGCATGAGACATGAGGTACTTTTGATGTTGGCCAGATGTTGACCAGATGTGGATATATATTACTGAAATATTAACTACTAACAGACTTATAACATGTAAAGATGACCATAGCCTTTCTCATTGGCTTTATTCTTATTAAACTTCCCTGCCTAATAGTTTATTTTTTAGACATGTTTTCAATAATATATTAGCCAATTTAAACAGATTTAAATAACAATTTTAGCAGGAATAATTTTTTAACAAAAAATACAATCTTTGAACATCCTGATTGTAGTCGCTAAGAAATTAAAATATTTTAAAATGCATAGACCTTACATTCAGAGAGATCTGTTGCTATAGGCCTATACAACTTTGGGAGATTATCTTTTAATTAAGTGATTCCCATTGAATATTTTTTACAACTAACCTTTAAAGAACCTTTAGAGAAGGGATCGTCAAGAACTTGGATAGGTTTCATCTGGAAAACAAATGTAAGACCATCTCAGAAAAAGTTTAGAATTTTCCCCACATGCTTAAAGCAAAATGTCACTTGGACAGTACACCACCTACCTCTGGACCTATCAGAGGCTTAGGCCACAGGCCAGCACATTTACTTCTCTTTTCTCAACCTTCCTGGCTGCCCACAGATGTTGGCTTTCAAATAGCTGTGTGATCTTATTAAGAAAGAGTGGTCTCAGTTTTATTTTACTGAATTGTAAGAATCTAATATAGCAAAGTTCCATTCATTAAATATTTATTGACTACCCACAATACTTCTACAGTGCTAGGAACTGCAGATTTGGTGATAATGATGCTGTATGTTCCTTGCCTTCAGGGGGTCCTGTAGGAGAGGCCAATGGTTAAAGATATCATCCTATAATTACAATGCACTGTAATAGGATAGCTTAGAGGAAGGGTCCTAAATTCCAATTACCTACAAGATTGTGCAGGTCAATATGAAAAGCAGGCCAGATCAGAAATTTGATATGGCATTTTGATGGCTGACTGAAACAGGACCAGGTATAACTAGATACTCTAATTTTTCTAGTGAGAACAGGCATTTATTAAAATATTTTATGTGAAATTCCCAAGATTTAAAACACTGGGTGAGAACAATAAATGACACCAGACTGAGTCAGATTACTTTATTTCACAGACAATGCTCAGAAGTGGCTTTTCAAAAATGATTCAGCCTCCAAACTTACGTAACTCTGCTTTCAAAACAAAACAAAAAACAAATAAAAAAACACAAGCAAAAACAGACTTCTTTAAATGATATGTAAGATCATTTAAGTGAAGGATGTTAATACATTATATCCCCAGAATTCATTTTTTACTATCAGGAGCTATGTCAGGTTTTTATTTACCAAGTCTAGAGATGGTTTGCAGGATTTTAGAGCAATCTGAACAGGGCTGAATTGCTCCCGAGCGCTTTCCAATAGCAAGTCTGTCTACTTTATTGCAGGGCCCAGAGGTTCCCCCAAGACCGCCTGATAATAATTTGGTATTTGGAGGCTCCTGTGTCACTGCAGGAACTAAAGGAGGCTAAATCCATACCTGATGGAGGAGAAGAGTTCTATGGTTATCTGCAAATTCTGGCCAGACAACATCTTGACGTCACTCCTTAGCTTCCATAACCTAGCCAAGAAAGAAGTTACCTTCCAAAGAGAAAGCAGTGTGCTCTAATGACTAAACCCTCAAAGTGCTATGCCACTTTAACTATAGACCCATCTCCTCGATCAATCAGGATGGCAAGATGGAGCTGAGGAGCTCAGCAACATCAAGTCTGGAGTTGGTCTTTAATTCAACTAGTCTGTATAGACGTGTCTGAAAACCACACCATCTGACAGTGCGGGGTAGTTTCCCAGTAGGATTTACAAACTCGGCTCAAGGGCAGCTGTGCTGCTATTCTCTCCTTGACTGCTGAGAACATTTTTGCCAGGCAGGGTACAGAGGGAGCTGAAAAAAATTTTAATAAAAGGAGTAAATAAAAAACACTAACCAGCAAAACCCCCAAGTCATCAATCTTGGGTTCTCTTGAAGGATGGGAATGTGTTATAGCTTCCCCTGCAGGAAAAGCAAATGCCATAGACCTACTGTCATTCCTAAAACTGTGTCTTTCCTGGAAAATCCTTGTAAATTAGCTAGGGTCTTAGGCCCAGGGCCTACATTAAATGAGAATTGTCTCTAAATATGTACTGTGTGTATTCTCACTGAGCATGCCCTCTATGGCTATCTAGGCTGAGTAACTCCCTGGGGAAGATGCATATAAAGAATTGTGACTTTTTCCCCCTTCTAGTCCATTTCCAATGAAGTGGATCTTTACTGATTTCCTGCAGAATGTGCCATACTTCTCCAGTGATTATAGTTCATGTGGTGTATGTGTATGTGGTACATGTGTACACATGTGTTTTTCTATTGGTTACATGCTTATTACCCAATTATGTACATAAGCACAGATTCATAGACCAGCTAATAACAAGGAAATAAAATGTAATAAAGGGAGGGAGTGCTTTAAAAGTAGTAGAAAAGATCACACAGGGCACTCCTGTTCCCCTTAACTGTCATACCTACACCATCATCGTGTTACCAGCAAGGGGAGGGAAAGGAGGTGATATTTTTCACAGAATTGCAGAGGTTTTGAACACATTTGCAATGTTACTTTGAGTATGCA